ATTTAAATCATCTTTTAGATGCAAAAAAACGTCTTATGACTCGATTTTAGACACTTTTGTTATCTGATTACTTCATTTTTCTTTTATTTCTTTATTATTGCTAGTGTTATTGTGCAGTATAATTTTAAAAACACGTTTTTGAAGGTATATATTTATTTTGTTTATTTAAACACTAAAAATTCCAATGATATAATAATTTATTAAAAATTGAAAATTAGTAAAAATTAATGAATTTAATTGAAGAAACAAAATAAATTTTTATTTTTTTTTATTTTACATAATATGAGATGTAATAGATATATGTATATTATATATGTAGTAATACAAAATATAGAATATATAGATAATATATAATGTAACGTACAAATGAAAATTGTATATTATAGGACAGAGTGATCAAAATCGGTCTATTTACAGTTTTTGTTCTCTTTAAAGCGTAAATAAAGTCTGATAATAAATCCAATGGTGCCGTTCGAAAGATTATTTAATTTCCTTTATTTTTGCTTTTGATGTGTATCTCTTATCTGTATCGAACTATAATAGAAAATGTAAAAATGCATTTACCTATTAATTATTCGATGTATTCAATACAATGCTTATTCATTCAGGTTGAATGTAGGTATAGTTTTTGAATTAATAAAGTATATTTATTGATAAAAATATATTCAAAATTTGACATCTTCAGTTTTAATACGTCTTTTTATCTGAACAACTTCATGTGTTTTTTGATAATAACAAGTATTTCTACTTCGATCGCAGGAGATTAAACAAACATATTTTCCTCGGCAAGTGTAAGGATGCAGGGTTAAGTTGTTTTTACGGTTAATTTCACGTTTCGATTCATGTGCGGCGAGTCGAAAGATGCACGTGCCAGCTCTCTCGAGGTAATATTTTTCGGAGTAAGACTTTAACCCTAGTTTTTCTCGAGGCTGTTTATATGGGACATGGTCGTTGTCGTCGAATCTTTCAGCGAGATCTCCCGGCGTGTTCGATCTGTTTGTCACACATTATACGACGTAGAGCACGAAAATCCGGAAAAAGCGGATTTATTATGAATGGGGGGCTCGGAAAAAAGCGACTGAATGAATGCGCCGGATGCACGCCGAATAGATTGCTTTACGGTCGACTTCCGGGATATATTTTGCTTTACCTGCTCCGAAGGAACAGACATTGCCCTGGCACGATTTTGATGCGAGAAAGGAAGGATCGTAGAGCAAAAAAGTCCTTGCAGCTGTCTCCTCCCCTATACCATTGACCGGTTCTCATCGTTCGGCCAGGCGCCACGCTTTACCCTTTCTCTTCTCACTAAAGGTGCACATTATTCCGACTTTGTCAAAGAATATGTTATCGACAATTTGTAATTAATTGGCATGGGCGGAGATTGTAATTTTTTGACACAAAGAATATCAACACCATGGATGGGAGGGGGTAGTAAATATTCAGTCTTTAATTCTCTCTCTTTCTCTCTCTCTATTCACATTTATTAAAATTCACAAATTTCAATTTTGTTTCTTAAATTTGACATGTGAAATTCCATATATTTCACAGATATTTGACTTATGTAGAATTTTTTAGATGCTTCATATAGAATAAGTCTTCGCTTATGATAATTGGAATATTTATTATCGTATAGGGCCCCAAATTATCTATTATTGTACACTGTTCTCAAATCGAGGATATGGAACATGGTTTTTTGTCATTTAATGCATTGTCAATTTCCTATTACAATATAATCCTTTAGAGATCGCCTGAGTTTGTATTCGCCGAAAAGGAAATCCGAATTGTGCATCTGTCCGTTTCCACGCTTTGGTTGTTTCGAAACGATTATAGTACATTCGGGAATTTGAGAATTTTGATAGGTGAGTCTCGGAGATTGATGATAGAATAGAAGCGTCACGAAAATCACGCATCAAGAAGATTTAGGCTCGTTTTACACTACTTTGTGAGACGAATCGTCTCAAAATTTTTGTCCAAGATAGAATTTTTACAACAGGATGCCTCTAGGCGTTTCCTTTCAAAAGGTCGAACACCATGTTAATTTCAGATGACTAATCGCGATCGCGTCATTTATGTGGCACGTGTGATGACACACACGTGAGTTCATTGTCCTGCACCGTGGGATGATTTACCGAAATGCTCTACGTTTCGAAAGAGCGCACAACGAGGCAACTAGTATTCATCTCGCGTATATGCGTAGCATTAGCAACACAAATTTATTTTATACATTCATCACAAAATTTCTTTATTACCATTCTAGTCACATATTTTTTACACGAATTTTGAACGTAACTTTATTCATTTTCTGTTATAAACATCTCTGTATATTTCGTATATTTATTATTACTTTTAAAAAAAGGCATACGAATAATCTCGTCGCATTCTTTTGTTTCTTTCGTTTTCAGCACAGTGACGATATAATAATTGATGATACTTAAATTTGCAACGATTAAGAGAGACATTGGAATTTTTCTAAGGAGTCTTTTCCAACTCACTTGCGCCTCCGACGAAAATGAGGCCGTATTAAATGCCAATGTCACTGATACAATTTGCGTACAGATGCATACAGGCAGGTCATTTGTTGCAATCGACGATAGGGAAGGCTTATATTATCCCGCGTTAAAGCGCCGTCCGGAATTACTCGACTAATTACCGTCGTACCGTAATCGAGCGTGCTAATTAGGCAAAACGTTATATCCTTCCCTTGGCATATAACTGTGATGATTACGATTGACGTTGATAGAACAGTTACGCAAGAGCTTGCAATTTCTTCGCGACTCAGGGAGTGTCGCGTGGAGCAACGAGGCCTCTACCGCGAGTTCTCACGGTATTGAAAACGCAAGGAGCTCCAATTGCTTTTTCGATTAAAAAAAAAACTTTTTTTTGTCGGAACTGCAAGAATGAGGCAATTAGATACAACGATCGGTACTCGATTACGAGCGTGTAAACATCGCGCGCATTTACTCTACCTTCACGATCTTGAGCCGGATTTAGTAATCAGTGCGCTATACCGCAAGAGGATTTGGCAATGAGAGTGCAACAAGAAATCAAAGGACCGCTCGTTGTGTCGCACCGGATGTTCATTGATCACTAAACCTTCGGTTGAATTGAATGTACTGTCATTATTAAAGATGTATTATATTATATTACATGTATTTTTAACTAAATAAAAGAATTACGAAAAAAATTACAGATTTTTTAAATATGTATATTGTATTAGAATCTTTTTAGATAAAAAAAATTAATCTATGGTGAAGAAAAGAGTGACAAAATATTCTCTGTAATTTATTTTACGTACTTTAACTAAAGATTTACGCATTTCCTCAATCTTGGCATATAAATCTCGATGCAAAAAGGATTTTAATTACCCACAGCTGTTTAACAATTGTCAAATTTGTGACTACTTCTATAGGATGTTTGTTTTTAAAGAAACTTCTCTCATCAAAGTTCTTTACTTTTGATAATGAATATTTATGAGTACTCGACTCGTATTCTATAAACTTTTAATATTTTTCGATATTTTGTATAACTTCAAGAATTTGATCAATATTTCTACAATCAACTGACAATGATGGTTTTTTCATTGCATTTTAATTACTAGTGACAGCCAGATTATTTACTGTGAAAATAATTTATGGATAATTTTTTACATTTCACTGTCTCTGGCGATCGAAGGTTACGATTATTTGGGTCGCGGACACTAACAATTAACTTGTTCGGTCCTTCCGCTCTTGGTAGGTTCCCTTGACCTTTTTTACACGACCACGATTCTCTCTCTCTCTCTCTCTCTCTCTCTCTCTCTCTCTGTCTCTGTTTTTTCTACTTTTTTACGGCTCATTAGTATCGTCATCATGTTGTCGCCATCATCGGTAAATACTATTGCTGTATTACATGCAACATTGTGTATTATTTCTTGTTATACATCGAAATGAGAAACTGACAATGAGTTGAGTAAGGTAAACGTCCCAATGCTTGAACGCGTCCTAGTGTATGAACGATGCAATAAATATTTATAATAGGTAAAAGTAGATATGTATAATAGGTTGCATAAAAAAATTTTATTTTACTATCTGAAAGATTTTTTTTAAACAAATCGAAGGAAAAAAAGTTTTCAAAAAGTATTAATAATTGGCTGAGTTATAAAAGAAACGAAAATTAAGATCGTTTGAAACGGGGCACTCTTTTCGCACGTTTATGCCATAACATCACATGCTGGTACTCACGCGGTCCGCGCTTTACCAACTGTGTATACGAGTGTAAACCGATACATTTAATCAGCCGAAATATAGAAAATACTGGTGGAAAATACGCTATTAATTGGTCGTATAAGTGTTTTGTATCCGCTGCACTAATACGTGTATAAAAATGCCAAATAAAGTATTTTTAATAGTGCCACGTGACATTAAACGTCGAAAAATGTGGATGAAAATGGCTAGACATGACGATGCACAGTAGGATAGAAATCCGAAAAAGTGGTCAAAAGTTAACTATTTTATGTCCATTAATGAAGACTCTCATCGTTATCTACACATACTAAAGTAGTTAGAAACATAAATTTATGTTGATATATTAATTACTGATTGAAATATGTGGTATGTAGCCTTTGCTTACAGTAACATCCTGTAACATTGATAATGACCTAATAGAGGTCGAAACGTCTCTTTTTTTTTTATTTTGTGTTTGTTTAATTAAACTATATTAATTAGATGACAAATTTTATTTACTAACAATTTTATATCATAACGACATTTTTGGCCCTTTTCTTTTCCATAGTATCACAATTGAATATTTACTAAATATAAATATATATATTTATTTATATACAATTATGTAAGAATCTTAATTTAATTGAGTTATATTTTTTTATTTCGTAAATATTTATTTATTAAGAATGTTAAGTTAATACTATTAAAGAATTTATACTTATTAAAATTTGATATATTTTTTCTTAGTGTATGTACATGTACACGCGTAATAACATTCCTGCTTTTTGTACGTTGCAGATTTTCGCAATAAATAAAAATAAAATGAGCAACAGCGATACTGTCGAGAAGAGTGACGAGAAAACGGATCCGGGCGCTATCAGACACGGGAACTTCATGAATTATTACCAATTCCATCCTGCGGAAGAGCGCGTGCGGCAACTTCCGCGTGGCGTGTGGCAGCGGCAACGGGTCGTCCATCCGGCCCGGAAATACGCGGGTCTAGACGTCGGCTGTAACGCCGGGGTAAGAGCGGCGGCACAACAGCTGTTAGGGGGACGTATAAGCCAGTCCGAAACGGGATGATTCGGCTTTCGTGATCCGAAACTACAAACGGGCGCGTCTAATTTTGGTCAAGTTATCCCCTTTCAGCTTTTCGTTCTCACAGCGGGCGTCCGCTTCCGGAATTTGTGTCTTTTGTCCTTGTTAGAAATTTCATTTACTCTTTCTCTCTCTCTCTTTTCCTCCTTTCTCTCTATTGAAGCTAATTTCCCGTTTTCTTCATTATACATATGGAATGCTTCATATACTCTGTTTCCTCTCAGTTGGAAACGGAACTCTTATTAAGAAAGTACGACGTGTACTTAATTTAATTATTCTATTTCTAAATGTAAATTAAAAGATGTAGTTTGGATGTATTTTATTTTTATGACTTCAACAATCTACTTAAGATTTTTTGGTGCGATGTTTAGATGTTAATAATCTTTGTGCGTATTTTTTAATTCATTTTAATTTTCATCTCAAGCTAGTTTTATAATTTAAGATTAAATGTTTAAAATTTAATAAATATTTCATACAATACATGGATGCTTATTTGACGCCTATTTGGGCGCTCATGGAAATAATCGAGGCATAAAATGGGTCTTTTTCTTTTCTTGAATATAATCGAAATGGTCATAAAATAAAAAGTGTTGTGTGAGATGTAACAATAACAACGAGTAATACATTCGATAAAAATAATTTTGGATTCAATTCTACACTATAAAAGAACATATATGTATTTATTATAAATTTCAATTTTTATCTATGTATATGTGTATGCCACTCAATCGTCTAGAGCTTTTCAAACATGAACATATAGATCACTAATGGAAAACATATGCTTCAGCAAGGCCCTATAGCGCCTCTGACGGATGCAAAAAAACTAATTAAAACTTAAAAATTAATATTTAATATTAATATTGCGAGAATCGCTAAACAGTATAGAACTTCTGTATTTATTTCGATCCTATCTATACCTTCCTGTGCGAGATTGGAGAAGTCTCTGTATAATAAATATACACTCGATCTGTATACTTATTATACATTTATAACTTTTCGCTTAACCGTACGACGTATTTTGCAGGATCTCACATACATTCTACGTGATTTCCTCGACGAGGTTATGTCGCAAGATCGGCCTGAGCTCTCTTTAATCGGCGTGGATCTTGACCCGATCCTGATCGAGAAAGCGCGCGAGCGTAATCCGCACCCAGATTGCGTGACTTTCGAGTGTCTGGACTTTTTGTCTGAGGATTGCGGCGAGATACTGAGGAGATATTTGACGCAGCTCAATAAAACGCGATTCGATGTGGTATTCTGCTTCTCGATCACTATGTGGATTCATCTGAATCACGGCGACGACGGTCTAGAGAAATTTCTGCGAAAGGTCTGCGAGCTGGCGGAAATAATCGTCGTTGAGCCGCAGCCTTGGAGATGCTACAAAAACGCTTCGAGACGACTGCGAAGAGCGAAATTGGAGGACTTTCCGCTGCTAAAGGAACTGAAATACACCAGAAATCCGATGAAACACATAGAAGATATTTTGAGGAGACTATGCGATTTTCAAAGAGTCACTGTCACTGCGGGCAACGAATGGGGGCGTATGCTTTTAATTTATGAAAGAAAACAGAAATCGTAAAAGATCAGCAATAATATTCATTCATCATAATGTATATATATAATACTATGTATATTATATATGTATTTTGTATTGACGTAGCAATAATAAATTTCCTCATTCTAGTACAGATAATGTGATAGGCGATTTGTAATAAATAAAGCTCTTTAAATTACAAACTCATGAGGTGTTTACGTGCGTCATCTTTTAGCTGATTATTTTCTTCTTAAGTTCTCTGCTTTGTTTATTATTGAACATTTAAATTCTTATAATTCGAATTCTTATAAAACAAACTAGACACACAAATTTTGATTGACGATACGTTTTGTGCGTTATTATTCTTATATCGTATTTCTTTCATATTATGTTTATTTTTAAGAATTTATATTTTTATAATTTAAATCTTTAGATTTTTATAATAACTCTACGTCAATCAGAGGAGTATGAATTTTTCACCCTTCGTTTGAAGTCTTCAAACTTTTCAGTGTAAATTTTATTCTGAATGCAAACAGTATGAAAATTCTTAGTTAGTATACGTGAAAGATTTTGTTTATGAACAACGCATTTTTAACAGTTTTACCTTATTATTTATTCGATTATTGAGAATATACAGGATCTTTCAAATTGATTTGCGGAACGTAGAACGGCAAAATCTGTCATCGATTAAATTGTCTTTGCTCTAATTCAGCATAACCATTTATAATTGTAAGGCTGGAATCAGACTTTGCATTGAAGATTGAGATTGAAGACTGAAAATTGAATTTTGACCAATGAGGATAAAGGAATTCTAGCTTCTATTATTTTGATTCTAATTTTAATCATTTAATGTTTAATGCGTAGTCTGATTCCAGCTTAACGCGACGCGAAGTTACGATTGCGCGAAACCATTTTGAAATTCACCAGCGATCACGACGAGTACGCGATAGTAAAATATACATAACGCAACGCATTCAAAGAAGAGAAATGTCCTTCATAATCTACGCGTGTGGAATATGTTTTTGGAACATTCTAAATGATAGAGAATCGCGAGGAATGTGAAACAGCTCGAGCACAAAGTCTTCAGTTTGTAGTGCATTGTCGTGTTCACGCGGGACAATGAAATTCGAACGATCAAAATCGCGAGAATCGCAATCTCGGAACTATCGATAATCGCGACCGTGACGCCACGTGGTATTTGGCGAGGAACTATGGTAATAGCAGAGAGAAACCTAAGGCCGGTATTCATAGTCAAGAAGTAATGTCTTAAGTCAGTCTTAAGATGTCACGAACCAATCAAAGGCTGCATTCGCGTGTTAAGCCTGGGCCCCGATTCTCTAATCCATCGTAAGAGAAACGTATACGAAAAATTAGGAAAATACTACAGTACACGTTACGTATACTATAGCATTTTCCTAATTTTTCGTATACGTTTCTCTTACGATGGATTAGAGAATCGGGGCCCTGGCCGTATCGCGGACGCTCGCCTGTGGGAGCCGTTAAACAAAGAAGAAGAAAGAAAAGAAAAATCTTCAAGTCTGATTCCGGCCTAACCCCCGTACATTAGCGGCATCAACATCCATTTTCCAGCTGCGGGAATTACGTGTACCACGTTCATTTTTGTGATACGTCGATATAATTGTATCATTGAAAGTGAACGTGGTCCACAAATTATGCATATGGATATAAAAAAAAAGTTTTTTTTGACGTCTTTGATAAATAAATTTATACAGAACGTCGAAAAAAAAAATTTGTGAACCACGTTTATTTTCAATGATACGATTTTATCGACGTGTTACAAAAATGAACGTAGTACATAGTTCCGGCAGCTGGAAAAAGGATGTTGGTGCCGCTAATGTACGGGGATTAGAAGCATATATACATATAAGGAGCTGCGTAGAATGCATTATGCATATAACATATATGGCATTATGGTAGATGAAAGGAACAGTGAATAGAGAACAAAGGATAAAGGCCATGGCACATAAAAAACTTAAGGCAGTAAAACGTAAGCAGTAAGGAAATCAACATGTTGTGCGTGGTCTACAATGGCAGTAGCAGTATAGTGGATGAGACTGTAGAAGTAAGAAATTGACCAATCAAAATCGAATGTGAGCAGAATAATCGACCGTGATTGGTCAATTTCTTACTCTTCAGTCTCATCCACTACTACTACTGCCATTGTAGACCACGCATTTGATTGGCTACTGCTTACGTTATGGCTTACAGACTCTAAATAAATAAATAAAACGAAGTAATTACAGACTCTTTAAAGATTAAACAAACATCAAAATAAAAAATAAAATTAAATATAAAAGGTTATACAGAGTCATACGCTGTTAACGGAGCGCGGAAATTACAGAAAATCTTCCCAGGTAGCAAGGTATCGTCTATTTGACGTCATTAATTAGTCATTTTTATGACGAATTTGATGTTTAAAATGACGTATGAACATCGTAAAAATGACGTTATTTCTCATTGATACGTTTTTTAATTGTACTTCTGAAGAAGACTCAATCCAGGAGTCGAAACATGTAAAGTTTTGAAGATTTGAAGATTTTCGATTATATTTTATTGTAAACGTCTATTCCGGTTACATATATTTTATGTCTTCGAATTTATTGTTTCTCTTTTATTAATTTTTGACTCTACTCTATTAAATTTTAATGTTATGACTCTTAATTTGTCTTTTTAATTTATTACTTTCTCATTGAGTTAAATTAAAGTTATGTATCACACAACATATATATATCTTGAGTAAATAAGTAAAATCATAATATTATTTGTATAATTTATCAAGAAATTATTATATATAAAACAATGGGTGCCTTCCAACAAGTGACACAGCACAACACAGTGATCATCTCATCCTTGTTTAACATAGGCGAACAACAAGGACATACTGATACACTGTGTCACACCGTGTCATATGTGTGTCGCTTGTTGGAAGACACCCATTATAAACAATCATTTTCTTTGTATGTATCACGTTATCATGTACCGGTTTATTTATATACGTATCTAATCAGGAGACGCGGTAGCGTCTCCCCATCAAGTATACATATGAGAAAAAAATTTTATATGAGGAAAAAATAAAAAAAAATCATATGAGGAAAAAATCAATATGAGAAAAGTTGTCGAAAAAGACGCTACAGAGTATTCTTTACAGGAAGGAGAACGCTTTTATAATAAAAAATTATCATTTTGTTTAAACAAATTGGTATTTAAAAAAAATGAATATATTGGAGATATACTATAGGTATAGATTTTTACAATTAAAATGAGATAATAATCACATCCGTAAGTGCACTGGATGCAGAGATATGAATAAATGCATGCATTTTTCTGCCCGATTTATGTAATTCAGAAACGTCGTCGTCGTCGTCGTCTTGGTCGTCTTAACTTCGCTAGACTGCAAAATCTTATCCCCTTTTACTACACCTTTTATCTACACTTCCTACACCTTTTGTATATCCTTTCTACATCTCTTCTGCACTTTTTTCCTACACATTTTCTACACTTTTTTAACACTTTTTCTACACCTTTTCTGCACTTTTTTTTTTACACATTTTCTACAACTTTTTACAACTTTTTTTGTACATCTTTTCTGCACTTTTTTTATATTTTTTCTACAACTTTTTACATTTTTTCTACATCTTTACTGCACTTTTAGACACCTTTTCTGTACTTTTTCTAATTGCATAAATTGAATAAGAGCGCAATAAATGAGTTAATAGAAATTAGTCGATATGCAAATAACTTATATTCTATGTGAAAAATCATTACTTTTATCAATATGAATACAAAGTGTATTGTAATTAATAAGAACTTAACAAAAATTTGTAAAATCACTGAAAAAGACATCAAAAATATAGAAAAAAATCATGAAGTGTACTTTACAATATCTTTACATAAAATCATTTAATAATGTTCTCATTATAATAAAAAGAATAAAAAAATAATATTACGAAAAAAATATAAAACAAAAATGCAATGTTTTCACGCAAATATATCAATTAAGCAAAAACGAAATTATACATTGATTTATTAATTAAACAATAATGATTTATTCGCCACTAATATGTATTTGTTTATTACTTAATATTTAATAAATGGAGATTAGACGATACGAAATTATAAACTAGTATTTTAATTAAGTTAAGGTTTTGAAATAACGATTTATTTGACAACAATATTTATTTGTTTATAATTTAATTTTTATCAGAAGAAAATATGGCTGAAACAAAATTATATACATATTGGCATTTGTTAACTACATTATCATTTCCTAACTTAATTAACAAATATCAGTTTATAATTTCGTTCTGTCCGATTTCCATTTGTTACATACTAAGTTATAAACAAATGGGTATTGGTGACAAATTAACTGTTATGTCGTCATAATTTTCTAGCTTAATTAACAAATACCAGCATATAACATCGTTTTCATCTGTCTCTTTTCATTAAATATTAAATAGATATTGTTGACGAATAAGTCGATATATCATTAACATTTCCTAGTTTATTTAACAAATACTAATGCATAATTTTGTTTTCGTACAATCTTTTTCTATTAAATATTAAATTATAAACAAATGGATATTGGTGGCGAATAAATTGTTGTATCATTTTAACTTCCTAGCTTAATTAACAAATACCTGCGTATAATTTCGTTTCTATCTGATCCCTTTTCATTAAATATTAAGTTATAAACAAATAGATATCGTCGATAAATAAATCTAGATATCATTAACATTTTCTAGCTTATTTAACAAATATTAGTGTATAATTTTTAGAAAAATGGAAAAAGAGCAATATCGGTCGGTGCCACGGTCAAATTGGTCGAATTGGGCTACGAGCTGCTGCCCCATCCACCGTACGGATTTAAGTCATTCAATATTCTAGAACCTTGGTTCTATCGCAATATTCTGCAGTATACACTATATATTCGAAAACAATAATTCAACAAAGATAAGATGTTAATAATTGCTTACTGAACATAAAAAGTTGTTATTTATAATGTTTCTAAAATATATATCTAAATATTAAACTTGTCCATAATTTACATCACATCTATTTTATTTGTGAATATATTTTCATGTCTCACAATTTACATCACTATGTTATACGTATATGTATATTATATCTGTATACATATGTCTGTTATTTTAATTTATAATACAAATACTATGTTGAAATAATGTTTTCACTGCATACTGTTTACAATTAATGCGACCCGGGCACGCCAAGTTTTTTCTTCACTATAATACAGTTGACAATTATAGTCACTTTCGGTCTGTCTTATGTGACTGGCGTAATGAAGAATACACTTGGTCAATTATATTTATCTCATATCTGTTTTGGATCAAGAAATTCAATACCTTTCTTATGCACTTGGCGTATGCTTTTTTCTTTTTTTTAAAAAAGGTTTTTTTAAGAGATAGAATATAACCGAAATAATCCGTTGTGTTGATGCTTCTAGTACCTTCTATACCGTTATTGGAAAGGAAAGATACAAAGGTAGGGCTCCCTACAAGGGGGGCTGCGTAAGTACAAAGAGCGACTACCTGAAGCGGCCCTACCTGCTGTGCGCTCGAGTCTGTAGCCCGATAAACGCTCGGTTCTATGCTCATAAAATCTAAACGAATGCGAATTTTGCTTTGAAATTTTGGCAGCGTATTCTTGGATTGTAGAGCTAACGATATATGCAGTAACAAAAAATCGATTTTTTGAACCTCCTAATGTGGTTTCCCCCCTTAAAATGAGAAAACGAAATGTAATAGATAGCCTAATAAGAGGCGCAGAAAAATTGAAAAGTATTTTTACGATAACAAATAGAAAATCATAGAGACAATCGAAAATGAGTAATATCTCCAGCAACATACTTGACGCGCCCGTTTTGTTCAGTAATATATCCATATATACATCTCTCACTTTCTCTTCAGATTATATATATATATATATAAATTTCAGATTATATATATACAAAATCTATTTTGTATACATATATATATATATATATATAATCTGAAGTTTATTACATTCCCTTTTGAAAACCTCTTTTGTATATTCAATTTTATGATGTTTTTAGAATTATAGGCAAAAAAGGGCTATATGTCTAACGAACTTATTTTATGACTCATCTTTAACGGACTCTTGCATGAGTCATCGTCACCTTCTCCAGTTTTTCCCTACCCCGTTTACGTACATTTTTGGTATTTTAAAATCTTACGTTATTGGTTGGAGCTCTGATAGAAGACTCCACCTCTTTAGTCAATAAAAAGATCCTTCCAGCTCAGTTCGATTTAGTCTAATTTCGGAAGCCGTACTCTCGCCATCAACCTTAGATCGCTAGTCTGTAAGTTTACTTGTAACACCGTTGAATAAAGGTTGGTCAAAAGACAGTCGTTGAATTATTACAGTCTTTTCTCGTTATTACAAGTTGCGGCGTTCTGCGCTCTTAACAACGCACGCACGCACGTACATATATATATATATATATATTTAGAATTTTAAATTTTATCGAAAAATAAATGCAAAGTTATTATATATATGTAAATTTACATATAAATTTTGCATTACTTTTTTGATAAAATTTTAAATTCTAAATTTTTTACAGCTGACTTGAATGAATATTTTGTTGCTAACATGAGTGAATTGAATAAAGAAGAGGAAGCAGAAGCAGCAGTAATAGTAGAAAAAGTAAAAGAAGAAAACATGTTATCGGATAATTTAGAAACAAAGAAACCGCCTCCTAATTGGTTCATTGTGCAGGAAGTAATAAATCGACAAATAGGTAGTAATCCATTATTCCAAAGAAGATTTTGTAGTTCTTTACATGCAGTAAATCGACTGGAGTTTAAGTACAAACTCCATGACGTTGGGGTAAATTATTTATTTTGATACATGTTGACTTATTATATACAATGTTTTATAGATTACCTTTGGATCATTACTATAGATTTTTTAAATCATGTATAGCTATACGAATTAAAATTTCGTTATTATTTACAGAATGTGAGTGCCTTAAGTTTCAATCAAAAAGGAAACTTATTAGCAAGAGCCGCTGTAAACAAAGTTATTTCTATTTGGGATTGGGCTGCAAGGAAAAAGGCTGCAAAGCGTTGTTGCCTTCCAAGTGGCAATGACTTCCTAATAAGCGAGGTATGTATAATATTTATATTATATAATATAGTATTGCTATTTGAATGTTTTGTAATAGTTATTCTGATTTAATTGTATTTTTTTATTAATCTTTTCAATTTAATAATATATGTGTTTAGGCCAAATGGCTCCCTTTAGACGTAGAAAATTTGATGGTCACTCGTAGTCTCCATGGTGATATACATTTATTAGATCTTGAATACAACTCATGGAAACCATTGTTGCACTATGAATCATCCTTTCTTGATTCGGTATCACGTAGACAACATTTTATGAGTGACAGGTCATTGGCTGTGCATCCTGAAATACCCTATGTTGTGTTTTCTGCTGGAAACGGCTCGATTTCATCCATAGATATCCGGGAGGATACATCAAAGTAAGACATTGTTATTAAAAAGTTCACGTGTAATAATGTTTCTTATATATTCTTTGTTTATAGCATGCAGAATGTCTACATATAATATTAATTTTTCTTGTACCAAAAATTGTTGTATTGGCTGTGTTCAGCAGACTCAACAGTTTTGCAACCGTTTTATAATTCGTCTCGCTGATTGGATTATACTTTTTGATCTAAAGAAATAGCCCTGTCTCAAAGTCATAAAATAATTATAAAACTGTTGAGTCTGCTGAACGTGACTATTATCTGGCGTTAAGTGTAACACGGGATCGTCATGTGTACTTATATGCGAATCAATCATATTGTGATTGAAAGATGACAGGACCATTATGACAGCTATAGCCCGGTTCAACCAAAGTAATATTGATTTATTTCGGTTCAACTTACTGTTAATCTTTTCCTAATTCTTATAATTGTTTCTGTTTTTGTAATTCCAAGAATTAGAAAAACAGGAACGATAAGTTAAACCAAAATATACTTATATTGTTTGCACCTGAGTTAATGGCTATTTTTAAAATGTAGATTAATTTTAATCTTGGTTCAACTTATACTTCGGACAAGAAAAAATGATAAGAATCTCATTGAATCGTACATTTGAAACTCAACAAACAGAAAATAGAATATGCTGGCATAAAAGATCCAGGTTCGATCATTATAACAAAAAAAGTTAAAACAAAATTAAATTTAATCTACGTTAATTAGTACAAATGAGCATAAGTCGATTAAATTCTACATAGACGCAATACTAAATTTTGACAATATTCAATACTAAAGACGTCGTTAATATAATAACATAACTAATACAAACACGAAGCCTACAACAGTCTAGCTTGGATCTCTAATTGCTTACATGTACCGCGGTACTATCAGGAATTAAAACAAATGAATAATTAACTAATATATGTAGTCCCCCCAAACTGCGCGTCGAACTATCGTTGGTCTTGAAACGCAATTCTAATAATCTGAAAATAATAAATCTGGAAATAATTCTTCTTATTGTGAAAAATATTACATCGGCCGGGAGTCGAACCCGGATACCTTGCTTTAAGCAAGTGTCCTAGCCAATTAGACTACCGAGGCCTTAGTAATATTCCTCGCAATAATTTATTTTAATTGGTGATAATACCGCAGTAGTTTATATGTAAACGATTCAAGATCCAAGCTCGACCGTTATAGGCTTCATGTTTGTATCAGTTATACTAATAAATTTTGAGTTTACATGATGAAAGTGTTTATTTTTGTTCTTTAATACACATGTTATATATATATATCCATTATAATATTATATATATTTATGTTCATATCCATAGACTGCTCGATATAAAGAGCCTTCGAAGTAGAATTTTAACAAGTATACATTGTAATCCTTCTAATAGTAATGAATTTTGTGTCAGCGGTAGTTTTCCCTGCGTAAGGGTGTATGATCAGCGAAATATTTCCAAACCACTTTATCAATTGTCGACCACCAAGTATCACAAGGTATGCATTAGTTTGATTCAAACCTATTGCTGATAAGTTTATGAATATTTAAAGAAATACTACAGTGTTTATGTTTTTTACATGAGTTTTAATTACATATGTAATTTAAATGTATTAGAAGGATAATGCAAGAATCGCCATGTATAATCACGATGGGACAGAGATTCTCACATTGTTTAATCCTTCCAAAATATTATTATTTGATAAATCAATGTGGTCATGTGAAGGAAATTGGAAACATACATTATTTGAACGCAATCAATTTAGATCTGTACCTGGTGTACCTGCTGAGGTAGCCGCGAGATATACTAGACGTAATTATATTATTATTATATTCCCGGTATTTTACTCTTTTTTTATTTTTAGAACTCTTTATTTTAAGTATATTTCAAAAGAGAAGTAGCATACAGTAACATTATTGAATGGTTTATTTGTTAATTAATTTTTATTCTGAGATTATTGTTTAAAGATTTTTTAATGTACATTTTTCATATTTTTTTCGTCTATATAACTGAAAAGCGACGCTTTAAATAATTATAATATGATTTATTAATAGTAGATATTAAGTTGTCTTAGTTATGTGTTGTGATTGCAGTTATACGTGGAATCAATTTTTTCGGACCTAAAAGTGAATTTATTATATCTGCATCCGATCGTGGTGATATATTCATTTATGACAAGAAGAAAAGAACTGCGGCACAGTGGTTGAGAGAAGATTACAAAACCGTTAAGTGTTTTCATTTTGTGCATTTGATAAACAAATTTTTCTCCTTCGTAGTATGTGTTGCACAAAATAACTTTTATTCATTTAATGTATAGATGGGATCTCATCACTGCTTAGGTCATCCCCATATTCCTATCCTTGCAACGGCAAGTGGGTCCAAAGTCCTGATATGGATGCCTTCGAGGAATGAAGATCGAAAAAAATTTTGGACTGTATGTAAAGAATTATCTATGCGTTTTTTTGCATTTCTTTTTCTCGCTTAATCATATAATTTATTAAATAAATAACATAATTCTTAAAACAACGTCTCTAAAATAAGCAATATAGTTGAATACAATATATTAGTGGTATCAATTGTTGTTCAGGGCCGGGATTCTCTAAACGTTTTATCGATGATTGTCGCTATCGTTAACTAGCGACAACCAACGGCATGACAATCCTAAAAGAAAGCGCGGCTCTCATTGGCTGTCGCTAGTTAACGATAGCAACAATCATCGATAAAACGTTTAGAGAATCCCGGCTCAGGAATCAGAGCGATTAGGAATTCTCAGAGAAAGCATTGCGATCGCTAAGCGAGTTATTATTGTCGTCAATCTCCGCGACCGTTTAGTCCTCGACAAAAATCCAAGCGTTCGCCGAAATCAGCTGTTCCGGCACAATTAGTCATTCCGTATCCGACCATTGGGAAGATAACAGTTTTTGCGACATATAGCTCGTCTGTCGTATTTACAGCTTTAGAAAAGAAAAAGCATTCGTTTAACGTTCGTGGATTTCGCTCCGCAATCACAAGTGCGGAAGTATATTGTGCGCTTAAGACGCATGTTACAGCGTCACAAGACTGTTAAATTTTGATTTGTGTAAAAATAAAATACTGTTGTCAGCTCATTGCGGCCGATAGACGCGTGCGAATATTGCCCTATCACATATCTCTATCTGCATAGATATATAAATAGAAACGGCGAGGAATACCATAGTATAACGGTACCGATTGTTGTTACCACCAGCGAGCGACGTTTTCCCGCCGGTACAATAATATCGGCATGTATAATAAATTTCTCGTTTTCCCTGTTATAGAAAAAAACACCAAAGGAGCGCACCCAGTTGAAGGGGATAAAACGTAAAAACCCAACGGAATAATCACATTGGACTAAGGACAATAAACACTCATACTTTCTTTTTTTTCTTCTATTTTTTTGTTTCACATTTTCTTCAAAGGCCTTTCCCTGCTCTTCCCTTACCAGTACTGTGTTGGCAGCGAGCCAACACCACGCAAGCAGTGAAGCATGCATATATCCAGGGAATGGAAAGTTATTTTTTAAAAGTAACTAGTTACAGTTACTCGTTACCGAGTAAAAAATGTAACTAGTTACAGTTACAGTTATCGCTTTTTAAAAGTAACTCGTTACAGTTACCGTTACTTGAAAAATAACTTTTCGTTACTTTTCCGTTACTTTTTTAAAATCAATTTAAAAATGTACTTTTGCATTTTTTTTTTATATGTAATACTGACAAATATATAGTTTTATAAAAGAAAAAAAAATCTGATTTGATATTAAACGTTCAAATAGAGAGAATAGAATTTTCTTTTGTTCAATCTTCACCTTTTATGAGCCGTTGTTCTTGATATATTATTATTGTTATATTACTACTTTAATAAAGTCGAATTGCGATTCCGGTGCGATAGCATCTTGCTAATTAACAGCTTATTGATATGATTAAATTCTTGGTTATTATATTAACTTTTACCGTGTTCTGGCTTCTCCGTGGATTCTCGAATATATTTTGCCGTCTCTTTGCTAGTAAGATGGACATTTCGGGCAATAGCATCGCGCCTATGCGAGAAGAATTAAATTCTCGTTTACTGCAAGACCTGCAAAATGAATATGAACAAGCTATTAAATCGGCAAAAGCGAGAGAGCAAGAATTAAATGCGCGCGCTGAAACTTTTAGAAATACCATGCGAACTAGTGTTTCGGACGATACCGAGACTAGTCTCGAGTATCGTGCCGAGACCGAGACGAGACCGAGACGAGACTTAAAGTCCGAATTCGAGACCGATACGAAACTTTTTATACCGAGAGTCTCGATGATACCGAGAATCTCGTCGAGACTCTCGAATTTTGTAATATGTCAGATACAATTTCTAACGCATAAGATATGTCAGGTCCTTTTTCAATATCTGATTAACTTGTGCTTAATCTGATGTTTCATCACAGATAAAGCCCATTGGATAAAACATCAAGTTACGCCTAATCACAAGTTAACCAGGTGATAAAATACCGGGCCTTAAACTATACGAGGATCGATTGGACACTATATTCGCATGTAGTAACGAAAGGGGAAAGAAGTTAGAAGTATAATAATACTTCCATATTGTTATCGGAATATTGTATGATGTAATATTGTATGAATTAAAAAAAATTTTTAGAAAATTCTTTAAAATTAGATTTAATAAAAAAAGAAATTACTTCTTAGAAACAATAATAACTCGTAATTGTTTTATTTGCATTTAATTTAAAAAAATTTTATTGAACTTTATGGTGCATCTTGGTATTTAAAAACTACGAGTAAACGCCAAGTTTTTTGTACTTTTACTTTTTTGAAATAAAGTATATGATATATATATGGCAAAAAAAAAAAAAATATATTTCTTTCACAATATTGGCGCAATCTACAAAGATTTCATTTCATTTTTTGTATACTGTAATAATATGTAACGGCTTTTTGTGAGGCCAACACGCACACTTGGCGCCTTTTTTCCTTTTTTTAAAAAGGTAATTTTGTTGAGTAAATAATATACATCGTTATTATTGACAGAAATTTGGTATAAAGTATTAGCAAATTGAAAAAATATTGCGTGTATACAATTACTAAATTTTATATTGATTATTTAATAATAAATAGTCTCAATAATTTTTTTCTAATAATTACATAATCACAGGATGCAACTTTAAATAAAATCATTTAAAAAATATGCTTTAAACCAGATATATTCATTTATTTTTCAAAAAATTTAAATTACTACTATTACTGGTACACAAACTAATAAGAAAGTTTAAAAATTTAATTAATTCATAAAATAGTGAATAATAATGAAGTTTAATCGCATAGATCATAGAAGAAATTGAAAAAACGCTTATTATGGTTATCGAGACCGAAAGTCTCGACTCGAGACCGAGACCGAGACGAGATTATCATTGTCGAGACCAGAACGATACCGAGACGAGATGAAAATTTCGAGACCATAATCGAGACCGAGACGAGATTTGAGCTAGTCTCGCCTCGTCTCGGCGAGACCGAATCACTAATGCGAACCGTCGCGGAAGTGTTAGCAGGTCTTCAAGGTCCGGATTTCGCGGCGTCCACTCACTTAGGGCCTACTCCGGTCGAAGGGCCACCACCTCTTAATCTCACGGGAATTTCTATTGGAATAGAAGCGATTTCGAGTCCTACACCGGACGCTACTTTCGCGACCGCTTATGCCGCCTACCCGAAATCGTACGTCCGCGATGCATTAGAAATGGTGCCAAAGTACGACGGCCACAACATTCCGGTTTGGCAATTTGCACGCGCCTGTAAAAGGGCGAAAGACTCGATACCGCAATTCGACGAAGCGTTGTTAGTTCGAATGCTAAGAAATAGGCTTTCACATCACGCGTATTTGACGGTAGAGGATAAAGTGCACTTTACTGTTAGTAAACTTTTAGATACTTTGAAACGGACATTCGGCCCGGGTAGGAGCTCAAATATTATCGCGGTCAACTAAGTATAGCGTTTAAAAAACATAACGAACATATATTTGCGTCTATATCGGTCGTATAAAGAATAATTGCGTACTGCAATAATTGAAGGAGATCAAGTAAACCTCGATCGCACACTGTCACAAACCGAAATTTCTTGTATTGATGCATACACGCTCGAAGCTTTTTATGAAGGCCTCCCTCGCGACTATCGTACTGAACTAAGGGCGGAGGGATACGTTAATTTTGCGAATGCATGCACGAAGGTTATAACAATACAGAAACGCCTTGAGAGGGAGGAGTCGCGTTATCGGAATAATAGACAGCCACGCGACGATTCCGCTCCTGGTGGTGCTCGGGGACCCGTGGGAAACTTGCCACGCGAAGCCCCTGGTAGCTTGTCTGCTGCTCCTGCAACCAATCAGCCGGCAGCACCGAATGCGTTCGACGGTGCTCGCAAGGTCTGCACATTCTGTAAAAATTATGGACACTTGTTCCACGAATGTCGAAAGAGACAATATAGATTAAATAATCCGAATATTAATAATAATAATAATGCTAGCAATAATTGCGTACCTACGACTCCACAAATGGGAAACTGCTTCGAGGCCTCGGCCAGTGGGACTGCGCGAGGTCAGGGGAGTGTACGTCCCGTGCTTCAACTAGAGTGTGTCCCCGAGGATTGTACGCTCTCCGGCTGCATACCTGCTACATACCTGTCGTCGAACTTCGATCAACCTCCTTCAGAGGACCTGTAGCATTTATGATAGATACTGGCGCCCAGCCTAATGTAATAAAAAGAAATTGTATTAATGAAAATTTAACTATAATATTAACACTAACGAGACTTTACAACTTACCGGTGTAACAGAAGACGTGGTTAATACCCTCGGTACCATCCAAATCTGCATGATGTCAGTTCCCGTAGTATTCCACGTTGTTTCAGACGGCTTCCCTATAATTCCACAAGGAATCTTAGGAATGCTCCACATTTTTTATCGAACAAAACACATGCATAAACTACGCTAAAAATAACATTACCTGGCGTGGTCGATCATTCCAATTCAAACAGAATGAATCTGTCAAAATTCCAGCGCATACGAACTCTGGATTTGTGATACGAATTGCAAATTCAGAGATTAAAACGGGATATCTCCCCTGATTTAGAATATACGATGGAGTTCTCGCGGGAGACTCCCTCGTTATCCGCAAAAACAATAAAGCATATATTAGAATAATAAACTCTCTCGATTTTGAAATTGAAGTATTGATACCTACCACACATTCAACTTATAGAAGTCGCTTAAATCACTAACAAACCTCCCTTGCACGCAAATTCAGAACCCTCAAATTCTAGAAAAATTTCGAACTCTCAAACTCAGAAATTCGCTAACGTTTCTCCTCATACCCAACCAAGTTTGACTGAAACGAAAGCAATAACCGAAAATTT